GTTCCTTAAAGTGGCTCGTTTGCTGGATTTTCGGTTTGGCTAACCGTGAGGTTCATGTCCGGGGTGTGTCCTGCATCCTGGCGGACAGCTGTCTCGGTTCATTCCTCTGTTCGCGGATTGGCCAGTCGTTGCCGACACGTTTTGTTGGCTCTGCCAGATGTATGGACTCCTGGCCATGGACGTCTTCGAGTCGGCGTGGTCTAGGCATCACCTATTTTATGTGGCGCCCTTACCCGCCTGCGAGGCGTTCACGGTGGATGCTTATCGGCAGGACTGGTCAAGGTGGGGGTACCTGTTCCTCTTCTCCCGGTCCAGCTGTTGCTTCGGGTTCTTGCTTGGTTGCAGTCCATTCCCACGAGAGCAGTCCTTATGGTTCCTTGGTGGCCGGCCCAGCTTTATTTTCAGACCCTGCTTGATAGGTATCCGAACCCGAGGCATTTTCCCGTGGCTCCGCCTCTTTCGGCAGGTCGGATCAGTCCTGTACGTGACTGGTTCAGCCTTCTTCTCGGCTCTTTGCGTCTGGTATTTTGACGCGGGTATCACCATCTTTGTGGTGATCAGGTGGCTTTGTTGACGGTGTCCCTTCTGCGAGCTTCATCTTGGTGACAGTATGATGATCCTGGTGTTTCTATGCACTTTTTCTTGCTTTTCGTAGGTTGTCTTCTCTTTCGCATCGGGTTATCTTGTCCTCTCTTGGGTTTTCAGGACTACAGTTACTTGATGTTAATTACTGTCGCCTCGTTTTGTGCGGCGCTGGCGGAGACGCTCCAGCTTGTGTTCGGGGTGGACGTCACATCTGCCCCATTTTGTACACTTTCTCGTGTTTCGTTTCATCTCCGGCCTGCTCATGCGTCGCCTGAGCAGTCCAGATCCTTGATCAGGGTGCTCTCTTATTTTCTCCTCAGTTTGTGGTAGCCCCTTCGGTTCAGGTTTGGTGCTCTTTGATACTGGTGGGTAGGTTAGGTTTGTACATGTGCAGCCTTTCTCCATCCTGGCGACGGTCGAGACGGCTGTTTTCCGGAGGGGACCTTGGATTATTGATGCTTGATTGGTTCGGCCAGGGGTGCATCCTGTGTTATCTGGTTGCACCTCTTTGCCGTTACCTGCGTACTGTGTCTGGGGATGCGCTTTGGGTTGATCCGGTTCCCCTCGTACCCTGTTTCAGGGCTCGGATCTCTCATGTCGTCCACAGAGTTTTTAAGTCTTCCAGCCTGAGGTCTATCCTTGCGCCTGTGCTGTTCAGACGTTTGCAGCTATTACTGCTGTGTTGGTGATGTCTAGGGCTCATTTTGGGTATGAGGATTTGAGGGTCGCACAGGTTCCTGGCCGCCCGTTCTTTATACGCGTGTTTGCTCCGGTGCGTTCTTGTTGCCTTGGGTCGCAGGTTGCAGCCTGTTGTCTCGGCTTCACGTTGCGGAGTTTATGGCGGCCGCCTCGTGGTTCAGCCCTTTCTTTTCCTTCTCTTTAGGTATTAAGCTCCAGGGAGCCGTAGGGGCTCCCCATAGAAAACCAGCATTGAATGTAATGAAACGCCATTGTCTGGGTGAGCCCTGGAGGCTCCCTTACAACCCTCCCTCCCACCAGTCGCCGGTTTTTTCACGTTGGTTGAAGCTTAGCTTCCAAACTGATGCTAGGCAGCTGGCGTGGTGAGGTCCGAGGCTTCCCCCTCCCCCTATCGGGGCGGGGAGGGCTGCGCGGATGATCAGTGCGGCAGTAAAGTGTGATGTTTCCTTGTTTCCTTGGGATTGTAGGGAGTTTCTACCTCTCTGTTCGGTTTTCTGTTTTAGTTTTTTACCATGTGGGGTTTGTTTTGTTATGCCTAACCCCGGTCGATGGCAGATAAGGAAAACCCCAACCACAAGGAGGTTTTCCAGGGCCATTGCTCCTTGAAATCTCTCTGAAGGGGCCAGGTTCTGGCGCTGGTCCCTGGTAGGTCTGAACACCTTAGCTAATGTCCCGGTCTAATATAACATACATTAGCCCGATAAGTTCCAGGGAGCTTCTGGGGTTCACCCAGAAAATGACGTTTCATTACATTCAACGCTGGTTTTTTCTACAAAGTGATAGAGGTAGGCAGACCAGTAAAATGTTACAAAAAGGCAAATCAACAAAATCACTAGAGAAAGGGATAGTGAAGAATAAGGAGAGGAGAAACATGCTTCTGAAAATTGCATACACCAACATAGATGGAGTGAGATCAAAGACACTGGAGTTAAGTGATGGAATACAGATACAGACACCAGATATTGTTGCACTCACAGAAACAAAGCTTGAAGATGATATTTTAAATGAGGTCATATTCCCAAGGGGCTACTCAGTCTGGAGACGGGACAGAAAAATTAGGAAAGGCGGTGACGTTGCTATGCTGGTGAAAGAACACCTAAAGGTAAATGAAATAATGATTGCCAATCCACGAGAAGTTGACATAATAGTACTAGAGATCTGCAATCAGGATGATGAACTAATGATCATATATGCATATAGTCCACTGCCATGCAACACACGGTCAAAGGAGGAGTTGGATAATAAACAATAGGGGGTCTTATAACAATACTGAGAGATTATAGCGAGAGCTGATAAAGATAGATCACGACTGTTGGTAGTCAGCGACTTCAGCTTGAAATCCATAGACTGGGAGGCATATGAAGCTTGAACAGAGGATTTTTGGACTTAAAGATTCGTAAACCTCGTCCTGGAAACATTCATGTTTCAATATGTTAAACAGGCTACGAGGATGAGCGAAGGGAATGTTCCCTCCATGCTAGGTTTGATATTTACCAGGAAACAGGAAGAGATATTTGATATTCAGTACCTCCCTCCCTTAGGTAAAAGTGACCATGTCTTTTTGGGAATATAGTATGCAATGCCTTTTAATCTGGAAGAAAATGAGATTGGAGCAGTTGAAAACTTGATTTCAGGAGAGGTCATTATGGGGGATCTTAGACATTTCTTTAAGGAATTTGACTGGAAAGACTAGCTGTTAGGGCATGAAGTAAATAAGATGTATGTCAAGTTTTGTGAAATATATGATAAAGGCACAAAAATTTTTATACCAAAACAAAGATGCAGAACTAGGAAACAGGATTGGTTCAACAGAAATTGCGAGAGAGGGCCAGAGATCAAAAGAAACAAAAATGGAATCAATATAGGAAGAGGCCAAACCCCCAAACATACCAGCAATACAAAGATGTGAGAAACAACTACACAGCAGAGAGGAGGGCAGAAAGAAATTTTGAAAAAGGGATTGCAGACAAATGTAAAACAGAATCAGGTCTATTCTATAAATTCATAAACAACAAATTGCAGGTAAAGGATAATATTCAGAGGTTGAAAATGAGAAAAAGATTCACAGAAAATGAAAAGGAAATGTGTGAAACATTAAACAAAAAGTTCCAAAGTGTGTTTGTACAAAATGAAATCTTCAGGGAACCAGACACAATAAGAATTCCAGAGAACAACATAGAGCACATAGAGGTGTCTAGAGACAAAGTGGAAAAAAATGCTCAAGGAGCTAAATAAGAACAAAGCAGTTGGTCCAGATGGAGTTTCACCATAGGTTCTGAGAGAATGTGCACCAGAGCTCAGCATTCCACTTCAAGTGATTTTTCAGGCATCCCTGTGTACAGGAGATGTAGCTGATGTGTGGAAAAAGGCTAACATAGTTTCAATCTACAAAAGTGGCAGCAGGGAAGACTCCCTTAATTATAGACCTGTATCATGTACAAGAGTAATAGTCAAAATATTGGAAAAAATAATTAAAACTAAATGGGTAGAACACCTGGAGAAAAACAATTTAATATCAGACAGTATGGTTTTCGATCTGGAAGAGCCTGTGTAACAAATTCACTTCGTTTCTATGATCGAGCCACAGAGATTTTACAGGAGAGATGGTTGGGTTGACTGCATCTATCTGAACCTAAAAAAGGCTTTTGACAGAGTTCCACATAAGAGGTTGTTCTGGAAACTGGAAAATATTGGAGGAGTGACAGGTAAGCTTCTAACATGGATGAAAAATTTTCTGACTGATAGAAAAATGAGAGCAGTAATCAGAGGCAATGTTTCAGACTGGAGGAATGTCACAAGTGGAGTACCACAGGGTTCAGTTCTGGCACCGGTAATGTTCATTGTCTACATAAACGATCTACCAAATAGAATACAGAAATATATGAACATGTTTGCTGATGATGCTAAGATAATAGGGATGATAAGAAACCTAGAAGATTGTCAAGCCCTTCAAGAAGACCTGGACAAAATAAGTATATGGAGCACCACTTGGCAAACGGAATTTAATGTGAATAAATACCATGTTATGGAATGTTGAATAGGAGAACATAGACCCCACACAACCTATATATTATGTGAGAAATCTTTAAAGAATTCTGACAAAGAAAGGGATCTAGGGGTGGTTCTAGATAGAAAACTGTCACCTGAGAACCACATTAAGAACATTGTGCAAGGAGCCTATGCTACACTTTCTAACTTCAGAATTGCTTTTAAATACATGGATGGTGAAATACTGAAAAAATTGTTCACAACTTTTGTTAGACCAAAGCTGAAATATGCAGCAGTTGTATGGTGCCCATATCTTAAGAAGCATATAAACAAACTGGGAAAAGGTGCAAAGACATGCCACTAAGTGGCTCCCAGAACTGAAGGATAAGAGCTATGAGGAGAGGTTAGAGCATTTAAATATGCAAAAACCAGAAGATAGAAGAAACAGACGATATGATCACTACGTACAAAATAGTAACAGGAATTGATAAAATTGATAAGGAAGAATTCCTGAGACCCGGAACTTCAAGAACAAGAGGTCATAGATTTAAACTAACAAAACAAAGCTGCCGGAGAAATATGAGAAAATTCTCTTTTGTAAACAGAGTGGTAGACGGTTGGAATAAGTTAGGTGAGAATGTGGTGGAGGCCAAAACCGTCAGTAGCTTCAAAGCGTTATGACAGAGTTCTGAGTAGACGGGACACCACGAGCGTAGCTCTCATCCTGTAACTACACATGGGTAATTACTACTGCGACTGTCCTGATGTAGGTGTCCCAGAAGTTGCAGTGTTTGTGGCTGCATTTGGTGTCATTCAACAGCTAATAAATGGTTAGTCACAGTTTAATCATTTAATCGTAGGCTAGAAAGGGCACATCTGCAGGTGATGTAGTTTAACTTTCTACGCTCAAGGCTTCATAAGCTCTTGGCAAAGCAGGGAAATTTGACCTACTTATTTATGAGGTTTTCTGATTGATCCTAATTCATTGCGTGGGATAATGAGGTAGTTGAGAGAAGAAAGCACATAGATAGCATATATGATATGATGATAGTGTACTTGGATATGTTCTTAGGTTAAATATATAAATGTTGACATGGAAAATGTATATTTAAAAAGCATCATTTATTATTCGGTGAATTATTTTTCTAATTTTAATATATTAGGATTATTCAGTGAATTATTTTTATAATTTTAATATATTACGATTATTCAGTGAATTATTTTTCTAATTTTAAGAATATAATTATCCCCCATCCAGAGGATTTTTTATTTGCTGTGCCCAATGCAGCACTGGGAACTCTTCTGAATCACAATGCTCTTCACATTAGAGTAGCCCTTTGCTTTGCTGCCCGATCCTCACCGAACACGGGGTGCATCTTCTTAAGCTCGTTGGCAGACAAATACTGCCAACACAGTCTGATATGTTGTAAATTAACATACACCGTATAACCATATGTGTAAATTAACCACACCGGCCATTAACCTCCAGTATTGGCCGGTGTGGTTGGGATGCAACCACACCTGTCAATACCTTCCTTCAACACAGTGCAGGCAAAGAGGAAGGTGTTGCCGCTTTTAAGAAAATGCAGAAAGCTATCAATATAGAGGTCTGGCATATTGCTACAGTTTTGTTCTGATCTGCTTGGAACCATTCTGGATTCTCCTGCGGCTGCGGTCCCGCTTGTGTCTGTTTCTGGGGGACTCCCGGGTCACCCGGTGGTTGCTCGAGGGTCTGTTTGGGAGCCTGAACTTCGCGATGCTGGTCTACCCGCTGGGTTGGGTTTAGCTGTTCTGGTTCCTTCGGAGATGTCCCTTCTGCCTCTCGCGATCGCTGGGTTCGGACCCCGAGGGCTTTGCATCAGTTGCTGCGTCACCGGCTTCCTCTTCAGGTTTTTTGGGGGTTCAGTGCCTTGGCGCCTACCCGAGCCCTCGCTCGATGTGTTCACGGACGCGTCATGTCTCAGCTGGGGCTTTGTGACCAGTGCTCACCAGGCCGGCCAGGGTCGGTGGGGTCTGTTCTTCCGTCGTGCCCACAGCACTGTGCTGGAGTTTGCGGCGGTGTAGTTTGCTCTTCGCAGGATTCGAGTCGCCTGCGGGTCGACAATCCGGCTCCATTCGGACTACTTCCCGGTGGTTCATTGTCTGAACGGGGGAAGGGGGGGGGGGTTTGATGCAGTCCTTGGCTCTTTGGTGCTGGTCACTTCAGGTGACTTGTCTGCTGAGTTCTCGGGGTTTGGCTCTCCTGGCAGTTCACGTGTGGGGAGTGTCCAACATCTTGGCCAACGGCCTGTCTCATTTCTTTCCTCTCTTCACGGAATGGACGGTCGACACCGACTCCTTCCGTTGGCTTTGCCAGACGTTCGAACGCCCCGAGGTGGACCTCTTCGCATCGGTGTGGTCGCGGCGCCTTCCCCTGTATGTGGCGCCCTTTCCCGACTGCGAGGCCGTCAGGGTCGACACCTTTTGGCAGGACTGGTCGAGGTGGGGGTTCCTGTACTTCTTTCCCTGGTTCAGCTGTTGCTCCAGGTTCTGACTCGCTTAGAAACTTACTAGGGGAGAGTTGTGCTCTTGGCCCCTTAGTGGCCGGCCCAGCCGTGGTTTCAGGCGCTGCTTGCTCGGTGTCCAAACCCGGAGGTTTTTTCCGCTGCTCCGCCTCTTTTAGCAGATCGGCCCGGTATGTCACATGGCTGGTTCGATCTTCTTCTCGAGTCTTCACGTATGGTATTTTTTTACTCGAGTTTATCATCTCTATGGTGATAAAGTGGCTTCCTTATTAGTGTCTCACCTGCAGGCTTCGTCTCGGCAGCAGTATGAAGTTTCCCGGAGGTCCTTCCGGTTCTTCTTACATCTTCGTTGTTATACTTCGCTTTCTTTTAGGGTTGTGTTGTCCTTTCTCTCTTGGTTGTTCCAGGACCATCTTCTTATGCCTAACACTGTCGCCTCGTATCACGTGGTGCTAGTGGAGCCCCTTTAGCTTGCTTTCGGTATTGATGTCACGTCAGAGCCGTTTCACAAGCTGTCTCGGGCGTTGTTTCACCTCCAGCCTGCTCATGTGCCGCCTGAGCCATCCTGGTCTTAGGACAGTGCTCTTTTCTTTCTTCTCCTTGTTTTGTTGTGGCCCCTTCGGTTCCGGATTGTTTTTCGAAGGCTCTTTTCCTGTTGGCATTGGCCTCTGGGGGTCGGGTGGGCGAGCTTCATGCTCTCCTCCGGTGCAGAGGCTTCTGCTCCTTTGATCGGGGTGATCGGTTTGTTCGCCTGCAGCATTCTCCTTCTCTTCTGGCAAAGAATGAGACTGTTATGTTCCGGAGGGGCCCTTGGGTTGTTGTTGCTTTGTTTGTTAGGCCGGGGATGCATCATGTTTTGTGTCCAGTTGCGGCTCTCCGCCGTTATTTACATAATTATTAATTACCTAAGTAATTTGCCACGGCTTCTGTGTCTATGGATGCGCTTTGGGTTGATCAGGTTTACCTTCTAACCCGTTCAAGGGTGCGGGTCTCCCAGGTCGTCCGCAGAGTTATTAAGGCTAGCCAGCCTGTGGTCTATCCCCATGCCCATGACATCCGCAAGTTCGTGGTTCTTGCCGCCGTCTTTGGCAATATGTCCTGGGCTGACATTCGGGCGCAGGGATTTTTGCGGTTGAACAGGGTCCTGGCTGCTCGTTACTTTGTAAACGTTCCTGGGCCCAGTGGGGCCTTGTGTCGCTTTGGGTTGGCGGATGCAGCCAGTTGTCTCGACTTCGGGTTGAGGAGTGAGCAGCAACCGCCTCCCGAGTAAGTTTCCATTCTTTTCGTCTGTGGGTAGTTAGCTCCGGGGAGCCGTAGGGGCTCCTCCCAGAAAACCAGCGTTGAATTTAATGAAACGCCATTTTCTGGGTGAGTCACGGAGGCTCCCCTGCATCCCTCCCTCCCTCCCTCCGATCAGAGTTTTTTCGCTTGTTTTTGACATCCAGCCTTGGAACTGGGTTGTGGATCGCTGGCACGGTAGGTCTGGGGCTGCCCTTGGGGGGTAGGGAGGGGAGCTGCGCAGACAGCGGCGCGATGGCGGATGACGTCATACTAGTCTGCTCGTTTTTGTTTGGGGAGTTCTATCCACTCATTCGGCGTTTGGTTGCAATTTTCACCAGAAAAGGGGTTGTTTTGGGATGCCTACCTTTCTGGGTGCCTAACCTGGTCGATGGCAGACAGAATGCTTCCAATTACACAGGAGGTTTCTATAGGCCATTGCTCCCCTTGCCTCTCTAGAGGGAGCCAGGTTCTGGCTCGTGGTCCTCGGTAGGCCCATAAGAAATCCATACACATGACTGATGCCAAAGTCTGACATTAGCATATCAGCCTAGTAAGCTCTGGGGAGCCTCCAGGACTCGCCCAGAAAATGGCATTTCATTACACTCAACGTTGTTGTTTTTTTTAGTTTCCTGTGATCAGAGACTATTTTAACAATACAGGGGCACCTCAGTTTACAAATTTAATCTGTTCCTGGAGACAGTTCGTAACTCAAATTCGTAAACAGAAGCGAATTTCCCGATAGGAAATAGTGGCACTTTGACATACGATTGCCCCTACTTACGATAATTTCGAGTTACGATGTAAATTTCATCGAAAAATGTGACTCGACATCCGATGGTGTCGTCGACTTACGATATTTGTTGGTACACGTTCGGGTCGACCGAGCGCGTGGTTCCCAGTCACGCGGCCGACCTGCCTCAGTTTACTACAGCTGCCCACTTAGTGACGATCGCACCAATAAGAAATTCCGCTTTTGTGGTGATTTTTTGCATTTTGAACATTAAAGTAATTATTATATATCACGCCATGAGTCCCAGGAAAGTCAGTGGTAAGGCTCAACATATGAAAACCCATGTAAGGATGACCATAGAGCAGAAACAAGAATACAGAATGTCTCTTTCTCAACAATTGAGAAAATGTGTGCAGCATGGGAAGAATTGCAAACCTTTGCTGAAACAACTCACCCAAATCAAGCTGCAGTAGGTCGTTGCCTTAACCTATTCAATGACATTGTGATGCATCATTACAGACAAATGTTAAAACGAAGGGAAAAACAAATGTCTCCTGACAAATTTGTAGTGAGACAAACAAGCACTGAATCACAACCAGGTCCTAGTGGTATTCAGGCAAAACGTAAGAGAGAGAGTACCCCAGAGAAAACATCACTGCCTGATGTGATAATTGAAAGGAACTCCCCTTCCAAACAATAACTCTCCTCCTCCCCCATCATCACCATCTTCCATATGCCATCAAGAGCCCTCCATAAAGGTAAGAGAAACTTTGGTACTGTATTGTAGTTAGAAAAAAACATTGTATTCAGTATAAAATGTATTTGTATGTTAATATTTTGGAGGGTGGGGAACGGATTAATTCAGTTCCCTTTATTTCTTATGGGAAAAATCGCTTCGGCTTACGATATTTTGACTTATGATCCATCTCTGGGAACGGATTAGCATCGTAAGTCGAGGCCCCATTGTAATGGGAAATGAATTAATTCGTTCCCGACTCCCCCAAAAATTCACTTCAAGGTAAATTTTATACCTAATTCACCCTATTCTTCACTACAAAAGTATGTACAAGTTATTACTTACCTTTACTGATGACTCCTGTTGGAATATGGAAGACGATGAGGAGGTGGGAGGAGGAGAGGTGTTACTGTTTGGAAGGGGAGTCCCCTTCTATTACAACATCAGGCAATGATGACTTCTCTGGGGAACACTCTGGCATGTGTTGCCTGCATACCACTAGGACCTGCTTCTGGCTCACTGCATGATTTCTCATTGTTTTTCTTGAAGATTATTTTTCCCTTCTTTCTAACACTTGTC